GACTAACATAGATGTTGATTTTCGATTATCATGATTTAGAGACCGAATTAGAGCATGTTTGGGGTGGCTTGTAAGTAAGATTATAAATATGAGAGAGAGCTAGGCAAACCTTTTTTCTCATACATATATTTGCACAAGGTTATCAAAGCTACAAAAGAGAACAGAGCAACAAAAAAAGAGGATATATTACAATCTAGAAAAAACTTGACCATGATGGTGAACTTCCAGCAAAGAGCATATTGGAAGAAGATGATAAAATTCAAAATGTTACGTTAAAATCACGTACGATCAGAGTTATTAGAAAATATACACAGCAAACTTGCGGTTCTGCCCATTTATTCCCATATAATTGATGATAAGAAGTTAGGACTAATAATTCCTCTTCAGTCCATGTGTCTTTTTAACTACTGGATCTGATCGTGCCACTTTAAGATCATGTGCAGCAACAGAACTTTAGAACATAGGCCATATCTTAACATTAGGTAAAAATATCAAAGATTTAACTAAATTATGTAGACGAGTACATCTCTTGCTTTATTTATGACGAAAAGTGTGCAACTATCCTTTGAAGAATAATAGAATCTAATCTTATGCTTTTCACGTGCAAGTAATAACCCTTCAACCTATTTAAATGATGGAGTGTGTTGAAGACTATTTAAATGATGTACACGTGGTATTATCTAACAATATAAGCTTTTAGATTTAGTGTTTAAATGGTGACTAAAGAAAACAAGAGGAAATAAAAAAAAACATAGCTTAATTTTGATATATTATTTAAACAAATGACTGCACAGAAGTATGTTTATTGTAGTTCTTTCTAGTAAAAGAGTCTCCAACTATCATTATGAATACAGTCAATCCTATTAGTAATGTAAAGTAACATTGAAAAAAAAACAATCGTAACATGATATTCTCATTTCAATATCTATATAAAGAAATAAAGAACCTTTGATTTGCAAGAACCTTTATATAGATTGAAGAACCATGTCTACCAATCAATTTAAGAACCGTATGACATTTTACTATCTAAATCATTATCCACACAAAGAAAAAAATTAAGTGATGAAACAAGGGCATTTAATATACATTTGTTTAACAGGAAAACAAACAATTTAATCACTTTTTCTGCATTGTAATTGGTCTAATAAGAGGATGGTGACAAGATCCGCTAAATTATGAATTGATTTTTGTGTACAACTCTAATTTAAGTGTATGCCAAACACGTCCTTTAAGTTGGCAATTGGACAGAATTAACAAATTGCAGCAAGAGAAAAAAATACAAAGTAAAGCTTACATTTCTACCATGCGCATTATAAAGGAATCAATGACATCTTTAAAACCATTTTAATTATAGCGTTTGCTCAGAATGTCCTTTTGAGTGCTAGCTATTGTGAAAACTTTTATATTTTGACGTAACTATAACAAACCATTTATTATTGATTAAACCATTTATTATTGATTGAACCATTTATATCCACACATTTTACGGAACCACAAATACTACCCACTTATCTATTGTTGGTTCCTATCTATTATAATTTATTAAAAGGTTTACAAACACTTCTCAAACAGCTCAATTTTATTTTTTACATTGTGGATTTGAATAATTTTGTGAAGTTCAGGGAGTTAACAACACAATTCATTTATTTTAATTGCAAATAAATTATTCCAATTCGTCAAAATCTACTACGAATAGCAGAGATGTATCCATACAAAAACAATTGCTAGAATTCCTTAAGGGGAGAAATAATTGCAGATGAAATATTCTAATCAATCATATTATGAGAACGAAATACTAATCACAAAAATGTCACCACAAAATCCAATTGCAAGAATTCATGATGCAAATAGAAATTGTTGTATAATTAATCAGAATCAAATATGAATAGAAAAAATGTATCCATGCAAAACCCAATAGCTACCGTACATAAAAGGAAAGAGAAAATTGCAGACAAAATACTCAAGTTAATCGGAGTCAAATATGGAAAAAAGCATCCACATCCACAACAAACCCAATTGCTAGAATTCACAAGGGGAAACATAAAATTCCTAACAAAATACTCAAGTTAATCAAAATCAACTACTAATCACAAAGATTTATTGTCGGGCAAAATGGGGAACATGGACTCAACTACACAAAGGGTTTTAAAATAATTTTGTAGGAGGTCACGACGTGCGGCAACGAATAGGAGGGGATAAAATATTTTTATAGTAGCAAATTATCATTTACTTACCAAAAACTCTTTTTTTAATCATTCTCTCGGTCGTTCTCTTTCTCGACGATGAAAACTTCAAACCTCTACAAAAGAAAATAAAAACAAAAGATTAAAATTTTTTGGATGAAACCTTTAGCTAAATTAAGCAGTATATACGAAGAATAGAAAATAGAGAGTCAAGTAATTGTGTGGGAGAAGTGCAAAGAAGAACGGTAGTTTGTGTGTGACAATTGAGGAAGAGTGAGAAGAAACGGGAGAGAGAAGAAAGAAATGATAGTTGCGTGTGAGATTGATGTAGCAATAAAGCACGGCTCTGTTCAGACATTGCATCTATAGTAAAATGTGATTTGGTTACTATTGCATCTACAGTAACCCTTCATTGCCCTTTTGATTTAAGGTTATATTAAAAGCAATTTTAAATTGAAAAAAAATTATCTATAATGTTGTATAAAAAATTTTTTTTTTCCTCTGTGCATGGAGGCCTCCATGCACAGGTCTCTGTACATGGAGAAAAGCTTACGTGCACGGAGGCAAAAGTTTCTGTGTACGGAGGTTTTTGTGTTTTTTTTTTAAAGTACAAATAATTTTTTTTTTAAATTTAAAATTCCTCTCTTCAAAATTATACTTGTAACTTTTTACTTTTTAGAAAATTTTGTATCTTATTATTGGTATTTTTATTTTTTTAATAATTCCAACTTATGGGAGTTATGGAAAGTTGTGTGTTGGAGTAAATTTAAATTGCCTCTTTTACTGTATAATATAATAAAATATATATATCAAGTAAAGACAAACGACGTCGTTTTTGTTCCCCACTTAAAAGAAGAAAAGAAAAGAAAAAACTGCTACAGTGAGACAAAGTGACATAAGCCACTGTTGATTTCTACAATAACTTCACATTCTCCTTTTTATATAGTAGGGATAAACTGATAATTTTGTCGTTATAATTGCTATTGATACTTTTTTTTGGGAAGAAACTATACAACAAATTAAAATCATGCACGCTTTATGTTGAGTATTATGGTAACGTTTTTTGTTCATGTTAGTAACGAAGACTTATCTTATATATATAATAAAATTTAACTTGTGTGTTGCTTTTGCTAATTTCCATGTTATATTCTTGATTTTAGAGTAAGCCCCTGTTCGATCCCCGTTTTTGGGTAGAATGTATTATGGAATAAGGATTTTTTGAAGAATGTATGGTTAAAAAGTAATAATTTTTTTTTTGAAATATGTAATTATTTTATGAAAAAATGTGTGGTTAAAAATGATATTTGAAAAAAGGGGCTCAAACAGGGGGCTAAACGTTTTGTATGACTCTTTGCTGTCATAAAAAATGAATTTTTGGGATGTAATTTTACATTATTTTGTGTTTTGAGAAAATTTTACTCCTTTCATTCCATAAAGATAATCTTGCTTTCATTTTTGTACAGATTAATAAAACTTAATTAAGATATGTTGAAACTATAAATTTTACATATATTTTTCTAATATACCCCCACATTGAATAACAATAATTCATATTTGTTGAGGACAATACACATTGAATAAGGGTATAATAGAAAATTATGACATTAATTATAATCTTAACAGAACAAGTGACCTATAATTTGAGACAAAGAAGAAAGAAAAGCAAAACTATCTTTGTCGGACAGATATATATATAAGCTCATTTCGGAAATAAGCCTAGACTCGCCACATCATTTTTCAAATATAGAAAAGGAATCGTACTAAAACCTCCTGTCTAGTACTATCTAATATTATATACTATGAATACTCTTAAAAATTTAGCATGTTATTGTTTGGTGATTTATTGCACAACACTGATTAATGAGCACGTTTTGAGAGATTATCTTTAACCCAAATATGGGCCTACAAATACAATCATGCAATTTTTTTTTCCTTATTTATTAATAGATTATTAAAAAATGAAGTAAAATACTTTCTTCATGCATTCAATTAATCATATTATATTCTTTGATCAAACCAATAATTGGGTAATGTCTGATACTCTTGTAGTCAAACCTATCGGAGCCTGTGAAGAAAATAACACCACCAGGTTGACTAATTTGTTCAAAAAAGAATATTTTATTCTCATATTGAAAAGATAAAAAAATATTGATATTTACAACTATGTAAATGTGATAAAAATCAAATCTTATTATTTATACATATAAGCTTGACTGATTATGAAAATCTTTTTCATTATCAATAAACCAAAGAAAAAAAAAAAAAACAGATTTAAGGGTGTGGTGAAAATCAAAATAATATTTTTCTGTTGATCACTCATGAGTTTTTAGTCTTGAAAATGGTTCTTGTTAATTCACACGGAATTTCATATGTTCCATATTTTTCAAGTAGACGAGTAAGTTAGCGATGCTTTCGATTAATGTCTAAATTAACATTAGCAACATTAATAATAAATAGTTTTGACTATATGGTTCTCGTTAGAATCTCAATATTATTTCACTATCATTGAATCACAAAAAAATTTAACCTGTGGTTAATTCATACAAAATTTCTCGTGTCTTATGTTACTAGTATCGTTTCGCAGTCTGTCATGCAAAACATTGATGCTTTTGACTAGTATCGTTTCGCAGTCTATAATGCAACATTCATGCTGCTAAAATATCAAAAAAGAAAACCATATGTGGGCAGGAAACTAAAGAGTAGGGCAGAAAGGGCATGAGAGCCCATGTGCAATTTATGGCTCTTGGTTTTTCTGCTATTCTCATCTTGATCTGATCTCTATCTACAAACCTGCATACATTTGGGTTTTTCCTTAAACTAAAAAGGTAAAAAGAACATGAAAATGACCTAAAATGCTGCTAAATTACGCCAAATACATGCTGCACGAACTATAAAAGGTAGAATTGTTGAGGCGTGATGGTTCAAGTACCTAAAAGCAAAGAAAAAAGAGCAATATAGTGAAAGTTTGATCTTGCAGCTTTATAAAAAATATTCTTTAAAGTTGAAAATACTAATATTAATAATTATTTTTATTTATATAAATACATTAATTAATGGGAAATGCAAAAGCCTATGAACTACTGCAACAGTTGCCACTCTTATCTCTGATTCTGCGGTTTCACTTATTGTAGATTTGGTGTAGGTGGGTAGGCCTCCGTTTCTCTTACTCAAAAATCCAGTTCTTTTAACCGGGCTCTTTTAAGAACCTGCGTTTATGGTGGTTCTTGAATGAACTTTGATCTGAAAACTTTGTTTTTTAGAAGAGTTTAAAGGGTTTCAAGATGGGGGATAAACCTGAAGTTTTGGAGGCTGTACTGAAGGAAACTGTTGATTTGGTAATGGATCTGAATGCTTTTCTTGTTTGTGCTTTATGGGTCTTTTTTTACGGGTTTTGTATGGGTTTCTCTTCTTTGTTTGTGTGCAGGAGAACATTCCCATTGAGGAAGTGTGTGAGAATCTGAGATGTACCAGAGAGGGTCTTTCAACTGAGGCTGCTCAAGAAAGATTAACCATTTTTGGGCACAACAAACTTGAGGAAAAGAAGGTTTATTTTACATTATCTGGCCCTTTTCAACTTCGATTCTTATGTTATATAGTCTTCATTTTTCCTTGCTCTTTATGTATTCGTGTATTTAATGCTTAAATACTTCTGATGCTGACATAGAGATCATTTGTGTCTCAATACTTTTATTTCATTGCTTCCTTTTCCATGTTTTTATGGGTGCTTGGGTATTTGAAGTTCAAGCTATAAATGAGTTATAATTTTAACAGAAGGATTATTAGGATAGTAATGGCTGGTGATTCTGTCCTATTGAATCTGGTGATTTACTGGTTTGGAATTGGATTTAATGATAAAAGCTCGTGTCTTTACGTACCTTGGGCGTGTTTACAGGAGAGCAAATTCTTGAAGTTTTTGGGGTTTATGTGGAACCCTCTCTCATGGGTCATGGAAGCTGCTGCTATCATGGCAATTGCCCTTGCAAATGGAGGAGTAAGGACATACTTTTTAAACTTGTATTGCTTAAATTTATGCATTTTATGGTGGGTTTACGGGGGTTTAATTTCAAGCTCTACAGGGAAAGCCTCCGGACTGGCAAGACTTTGTGGGTATTATTACTTTGCTCGTGATAAATTCAACAATTAGTTTTATTGAGGAGAACAATGCAGGCAACGCAGCAGCAGCTCTCATGGCTCGTCTTGCTCCAAAAGCTAAGGTTAAATTTGAAATTATCTTATGTTGGAATTGCCGATCAATGGTTTGTCGCGGTTTGTTTTTATCTGATAGATAGCTATTATGATGTAGGTTCTTAGAGATGGAAGGTGGAGTGAGGAAGATGCTGCAATTTTAGTCCCTGGTGATGTAATCAGTATTAAACTTGGAGATATAATTCCTGCTGATGCTCGCTTGCTTGAGGGTGATCCTTTGAAAATTGATCAGGTGTGTATCTTTTCTTGATTTTCTGGCATATTATATACAGTTTCAGCTTATTGGAACTTGTTGAAATTATACATGATGGAATTTGCAGTCTGCTTTGACGGGGGAGTCCCTACCTGTTACAAAGGGACCAGGGGACGGTGTTTACTCAGGTTCTACCTGCAAACAGGGAGAGATTGAAGCTGTTGTCATTGCCACCGGGGTTCACACATTTTTTGGGAAGGCTGCTCATCTTGTTGATAGTACTAACCAAGTCGGGCACTTTCAAAAGGCAACTAACTAGAAATATGCCAATATTATTCTGGAATTCTTATAATTTCCCTTTGAAATCTTTTAAGTATTATTTTGTTGTTGTATTGGTTAGGTCTTGACTGCGATTGGAAACTTTTGTATTTGCTCTATTGCGGTGGGAATGATTATAGAGATTATTGTGATGTACCCCATCCAACATCGGAAGTATCGCCCTGGTATTGACAATCTACTTGTGCTCCTTATTGGAGGAATACCAATTGCCATGCCAACTGTTCTTTCTGTTACAATGGCCATTGGCGCTCATCGTTTGGCCCAACAGGTTTTTGTTTGGCTCCCTGGGTTATGATGATCTACAATTGCTCAGGGATTCTAGTATGTGATGGAATATTTATATATGTACAGGGAGCTATTACAAAGAGAATGACAGCTATAGAAGAGATGGCGGGCATGGACGTGCTTTGCAGTGATAAGACGGGAACTTTGACTCTGAATAAGCTCACTGTTGATAAGAATCTTATAGAGGTTAAATAATGGGTGCTTTTCCGCTGATTTTCTATGCGTTTACAATGACAAACTGAATGTAAAATCTATTTTGTGCTTTATGTGCTTGTCAACAGGTTTTTGCTAAAGGTGTTGATGCAGATACTGTTGTTCTGATGGCAGCCCGAGCATCGCGAACAGAAAACCAGGATGCAATAGACGCTGCTATAGTTGGGATGCTGGCTGATCCGAAGGAGGTAGCATTCTATCATAGTGAAAATACGGGATTTGACTTTATTGGAAAGTACTAAAAAATGAAATGAAGTTTAAATTTTTATTATTGTACTATGTAGTGATGTGTACCAGATATTGTAGACGTCTTTATATAACTTATGTTTCCACTTTGTTGTGACTTTTGACTTCTAAAATCACTACAATCAGGCACGTGCTGGCATTCAAGAACTCCACTTCCTTCCTTTTAATCCTACTGACAAGCGAACAGCATTGACCTATTTAGATAAAGATGGAAAAATGCACAGGGTCAGTAAAGGTGCACCCGAGCAGGTAAATAGTGCCCTTTTGTTACGGTTTTGCTATTATTTTGTGATTCTAATTTCTGCCTCCCACATATATTGTAGATTTTAAATCTTGCGCATAATAAATCGGAAATAGAGCGAAGGGTACATGCTGTGATTGATAAATTTGCAGACAGAGGGTTAAGGTCACTTGCCGTGGCATACCAGGTAAACCTAATAGTGTTTTTTTACCATAGGGATCTTCTTATAATGAAGTGTATGTATTGAATTGTTTGTTGCCCAGGAAAAAGAAATTGAATTTTTTCATGGGCATGCATTACATTTTCTTGTAGGAAGTTCCAGAGGGAAGAAAAGAGAGTCCTGGAGGGCCGTGGCAATTTATTGGTCTCATGCCTCTTTTTGACCCACCCAGACATGACAGTGCAGAGACTATAAGAAGAGCTTTAAATCTTGGAGTGAATGTCAAAATGATTACTGGTACATTTTGTGTTGCAACTTTAAGCAATAATATTTTTAGCCAATTGAAATCTGTTTTAATGACTGTGTATCTGTTGAGTATTTGGTAGTGAAAGGATTGTTTTGTAGTGAACAAACGAAATAGCAAGGTTTAATTCGTAGGAGCGTAATTGAACACAACAAAATTTGGAGGAAAGAAAAATTGATTTGGTATACAAACCACAAAAGAAAACAAAAGTGAAGAAGAAAGAATTTCGAGGCAAGTGATAATCACTCTTTCCTTAAGACAATATTGCCAAGTAACGGTGCTCACGGTTTATGGTACTTGTTTCCCAAGATACAATGTATACAACTTGTGGGCTCACGGTTTACGACACATGTTTCTCAAGATACAATGGATACAAATTGTGGTAAAAGCACTTCAAATCATAAGTAACAGCGACAGAATATCTCCTTTCTACAAGAAAATGTGGTTTTGAATGATTATAGAGACGTTTTGCTAGAGTTTTGATGTAATGCTTAATGCAAAAGTGATATGAGATGCATGATGGACGTCTGAAGGGTCCTACTTATAAAGGATGAGAGGCTGTGAGTGAAGTAACATGTCTCAAACTCCGCAACCTTGTGAAGGGAAGCATCTCTTGCTGTTGCTAGCCTCTTGCCCGAGCACCAGTGTCAATTTTTTGATAGAATATTTCTCGCTTACCTGTTGCTCGAGCGATAGTCCCATCGCTTGAGTGCTAGGCAAGCGATGGAGTTAGGCAGTTTTTCGGCCAGTTTTTCCTCTTTTCTTCCAATTTCTAGACCGTAATTTTTCATTCATTTGAAATTGGTCTTGAGATTCCAAATATATCCTAATTATCTACTCGACGAGTAGAATAAGTTAGTCTATTTAAATTCATAATTTGACTAACAGATCAAGTCCGAATATTTGGCCGAAGTTGACACGAAAGTCACTTTTTCACAATTCTTGGTTTAAATACTTAACCTACCCAACAGTATCTAGTTATACACACACATTTCCGTATTTGCAATTTCTCTAAAATGTCGACCACACAGCTGAATATGTTTTCCTTAAAGGTTCTGTGCTGGTGGCTATGTCTCTGAATTACGGATTTTATTAATTTGTCATATTCCTTGGCAAAATTTTGTTTTGGTCTGTTTATGCATTCATTAAGCATAAAGAAGCATGTTTAGTTTTTTGGTGGGATTGTTTATGTATCTAATCAGCCCCAGCACTTCCTTTTCCTGGAGAGTTTCACCATTTTGTTGGAAGAGAGAATAAAAACAATGATGGTTTTTATTAACATGTTTTCATGACTTTTGACAATGGGTAGAAACAGAATTTTGGCCACAACAGTTAGTATTCTGCTATAGAGAACCACCACAATTAGTAAATCACTCATCGGGCCATTTATGATATCCGTGTTCATTAAATTATGCTTATTTATTTGTTTAGCTTTCCATGTCATTCAAAAGTTTTAATGAGCTTAGTGAACTCCAATATTAAATACTGAATTAGGTGATTTTCAACAGGAGATCAACTTGCAATAGGAAAAGAAACTGGACGAAGATTAGGGATGGGAATAAACATGTACCCTTCATCTGCTTTGCTGGGACAGAACAAAGATGAATCAATTGCTGCTTTACCAGTTGATGAGCTAATAGAGAAAGCTGATGGTTTTGCCGGTGTTTTCCCTGGTAATTTTTCTGTTCTTTCCTGTTCCAGTGTCTGATTGCTGATTCTGGTAATACAGATTTATGCATAATTCATGGTTCGTCCTTGCTTGCTTAATTATTCCTGCTCCATGTTCATGTCTTGTTTATTGGCTTGTTTTCTATATGCTTCAGAGCACAAGTATGAAATAGTAAAGCGTTTGCAAGCCAGGAAACATATCTGTGGAATGACTGGCGATGGAGTAAATGATGCTCCTGCTCTGAAGAAGGCTGATATTGGGATTGCTGTTGCTGATGCAACTGATGCAGCTCGTAGTGCTTCTGACATAGTCCTTACGGAACCTGGTCTCAGTGTTATAATTAGTGCTGTTTTAACCAGTCGGGCAATCTTCCAGAGGATGAAAAATTATACGGTACAACCTGTCTTTCATTATTCATGTTCATATTTAGTGTCCAGCTGGCCTGCATTCAACAATAATGTTCCATTCACTTTCCATTGATTTTTGCAGATTTATGCCGTTTCTATCACAATTCGTATTGTGGTATGTTATTTTCTTTGATTGGGTTTATGTTCTCTTTCAGATAGTATGAATTTCATACAGAGTTTTTTATGTATTTCCTTTTATTTCTGATGTATCAGCTCGGTTTCATGCTGTTGGCATTGATATGGCAATTTGACTTTCCACCTTTTATGGTGCTTATCATTGCAATCCTCAACGATGGTATCTTCCCTTCCATTCACTTTCCATTGATTTTTGCAGATTTATGCCGTTTCTATCACAATTCGTATTGTGGTATGTTATTTTCTTTGATTGGGTTTATGTTCTCTTTCAGATAGTATGAATTTCATACAGAGTTTTTTATGTATTTCCTTTTATTTCTGATGTATCAGCTCGGTTTCATGCTGTTGGCATTGATATGGCAATTTGACTTTCCACCTTTTATGGTGCTTATCATTGCAATCCTCAACGATGGTATCTTCCCGAGATCTTTAATTGCTAAGATAGTTGATTATGTATTGAGAGAAAGCAAGGCCAAACAGCATTGATTTTACCTGGAAAAGTTCAAAATGCCAATATGGATTGTACACCGTAACATCAGTATGCCTATGGGACAATTCATTTTTTCCTTCTTGTTTGCATGTCCAGGAGCCTATATCTTGCATTTCCATGGATTATCTTTTGGGATTAAACTAACCATGCAAGAAATCTTGCACGTGGTTGAACTTGTTGCTTTCCTTTGCATTTAACTATCAACTCCCGTGCTTTTAGGTACCATTATGACCATATCAAAGGATAGAGTGAAACCATCTCCTCTGCCAGACAGCTGGAAGCTTGCTGAGATTTTCGCAACAGGAATTATTCTTGGTGGATACTTGGCAATGATGACTGTCATATTTTTTTGGGCAGCGTATAAAACAAATTTCTTTCCAGTAAGCCAATTTTGTCTATTAAACTGTATATTGATGTTTTGATGGAAGATGTATCTTATTTTTTCATGACTTCTCTGATGAATTTCCAGCGAGTATTTGGAGTGTCCACTCTTGAGAAAACTGCTCATGACGACTTCCGAAAGCTTGCTTCAGCAATATATCTTCAAGTGAGCACCATCAGTCAGGCACTGATATTTGTTACTAGATGTAGAAGTTGGTCATTTGTCGAGCGACCTGGTTTGTTGCTTGTAGCGGCATTTGTGATTGCTCAACTGGTACAGAATCTTATCCCGTTATTTTCACACCATCTTTTGGACTCGAGTTATTTGAATTTAATATTTGGTACTTAATTGCAAACAGGTTGCAACTTTGATTGCGGTTTATGCGAATTGGAGCTTTGCGGCAATTGAAGGAATTGGTTGGGGATGGGCTGGAGTGATCTGGCTTTATAATATTATTTTCTATATTCCGCTTGACTTTATAAAGTTTTTCACCCGTTATGCTCTTAGTGGAAGGGCCTGGGATCTTGTTCTGGAGCAAAGGGTACATATCATACTCGACTAATTTGAGATATGAAATCTTTGCTTGTCAATGCCACGTGCCCTTATCCTCTTTCATGGTTTTTTTCCCGTTGCAGATAGCTTTCACCAGGAAGAAAGATTTTGGAAAAGAACAGCGTGAACTTATGTGGGCACACGCGCAAAGAACCCTTCACGGGCTGCAAGTACCTGATACCAAATTGTTCAACGAAACCAACAATTTCTCCGAGCTCAATCAATTGGCTGAAGAAGCCAAAAGGAGAGCTGAGATTGCAAGGTATAGATGTTTAGCATAATTATAATTAGTTATTAGCTTCTTAAGTTGATTTGAAATTCCGGTATGTTTGGCTCATGTTTATAAACTATTTATAAACACTGAATCAACTTTTTATCCATACATTTCGAGAGACCCACAAATACTACATATTTATCAACCACTCATTTCTATCTATTTATAAGCTGTTTATAAATACTTCCCAAACACGCTCAATAGTAACACTATTTTTAAATAATGGCAGATGATAGGCAATAACTCTGCATATGATATTGCAATCTTATACATTTGTCTTCCATTTTTACTGGTTGCTTTATACTCAACACAAGGAAATAGTTTTAAATGTACCTAATTTACCAAGTAAAAATAAAATAAAAGCAACATTAGTGTTTGAAATTTTATCTCCCTGATGGATTTTGGTTTTTTGGTTTTCATTGTCACAGGTTACGAGAGTTGCGCACACTTAAAGGTCATGTTGAATCAGTGGTGCGACTTAAGGGTCTCGATATAGACACAATTCAGCAATCATACACAGTATGAGGAGACGACCTAAATTGGATGGTTGGCGGTTTAACTTGTGCTTAGACTGAAGCTATTGTCAATGTATTGATTAGCTATGAGTATACACTGTCGGGCTGTTCCTATCGGTCTACTGTAAGTATATTTTTAGATTTATCCATTTGTGCCATTTCGACTTCAATCCTTGACTTTGAGACTCTTAAGTCCCTTGTTGGGAAAACACAAACAATTGTTATGTTAGAATTTAATGTCTATAATCATAAAGCTTATGGTCTCTTGGTTGTTCATTTGTTGATTTAATTTTCTTTTGGCCTTTATGCAATGCAATGTGAATGAGCTTTGTTTACGTCGTAAAATGTTGGGACTACACTTCGTCGCTCAAGTTAGTCTTTGAATGGTCTGTCAATTCGAGGGGATAATCGATTAGAAATAGAACTTAATATTTAGGGTCACTTGACACAGTTTTGCTTTTGCTTATTGTAGAAGAGTTTATCAAGAAAGTCGGCTTTCGCTAAAATCTCATCACAAGACAGTTCAAAAGCTGCTTTTAAGTTTTAGAAGCAATTTTTGCCTTTTTAAAGTTCTGCCAAAAGTCCCTTAGTGTTGTCTACCATGATTGTTGCTTGTCTAAAAGCGTGATAAGATAATTGAATAGCAAGTTATACATGTCATGATACAAGGATGCAACAAGTTCAATTCTCGAGATCGAGATCTGCTGGTTTTTCACACTACAAATAGGGCTTAAAATCTAACAATTAGGCAGAATGTTGGGCGAGTTTTTTCTCCTGCATTTCAAGTGCAATGTTGCTATCTTCACTTCCCTTGTACCTGTACCACGTAGCACAAGCCAAAAAGTAGCAAAAGTTGAAGAAACACAATGCTCCAGTCAGATAATAGAAATAGTCTAACCTACCCTTGTTGAGATCTTCTGGCAGCCAATTTCCACCCGATGTACCCTCAGTAGAATGATGAACTACTGAAATAATGAATCCATACAAATAATTCGATACAGCACTTCCAACAAAGAAGAATGCCCCTGCAACGCTTCTCATATTTTCCGGGAACTGTTTATAGTAAAATTCTACTTGGCCAATGGAGTTAAATGCCTCAGCAAGTCCACCTAATGCTAGCTGAGGAACCAACCATAAAGCAGACATAGGTGAAATCGCGCCTCTTACTCCCGGGATTGGATTCTTAAGTGCCAAATCTCTTCTTCGTACTTCCACAAAGGCTCCCAGAAATGACTCGATTATAGTGATGAATATACCGATTCCCATTCTTTGAAGGACCGTTATGCCCCCTTCTTTCCCTGTTATTCTCTGCATTAACGGGACTAGAATCCTGTCGTATATCGGTATAAAGATAGATAGGCTTAACATGGCGAAAATTATGTAGGTTGCTGCTGGTATTTGGAAGCTGGTTTTGCCTAGATGCCTGTTGGATTGAAGTGCTTGGAAAACTATGTATTGTTGTTGGGCTCCAATATGGTACAAAATAGCTGTTAGTGATACCGGAATAACACGAAGCACACATTTTGTTTCTTCGACTTGCTGCATGCTGCATAGCCTCCACGGATTGGCTGCCGATCCATCTGGATTGATTTCGTCGACTTCCGTTAAAACTGCTGCTTTGTCGAGGAAACTGAAAACATGACACGATTATTGAAATTACTTCATGAAAATAAGCCCATGTTCGGGGGTGGACGCAGAGAAATTCAGTTAGGGGGGCACAATAAAATTTTGTACAGATCGAATACTTTGTTTTTTATTTTTGAATGATTCATATTTGAGCCAAAAAAATGTAGATTTACGTTTCAAAAATATTTCTTCATTAATACTTTGCTAATCATTTTAATCTATTTGATTTTGAACAATAATTGCATATTTATATTTTAAAAAATTGTGTATTTGATACAAACAATCAATTCAAGTAATCGAAAGAAAAAAAAATAACCAATATTAAATACTAATAATTAGTCAAATAAACACAATTCGTTAGATATAAATTAAATTTTATATAATCAGTTTAGACACGTGCTATATAATATATGCACAAATAGGATAGGAGAAAATGCAAATTTAGGTTCTCATTAGTTGAAAATTTGTAAATGTGATAATTGTAGAGAAATCATAAATAAATTTTAAAAAATTAGAAGAGTTAAGATTTTGGTAAAAGGTTTGAGGAAGAGAATACGATAGAGCAATAAAAAAGAGAGAAAATTCAAAATTATTGGTGGGGATTAAAGTCCGATTTTTAGTAAATTTTGATAAAATTTTAGAAGTTAAGGAATCCAAAAAATATGTTATTAAAATTAATTATTAACTTAGATTTAGATCAAAATTTCAATTTTGACAACAAACATGACTTTATCACAAAAGAAAAAGAAAAGGGAAAATCTCAAAAGTTGGGGGGTCAAGTGACCCCCCATGGGTCCGCCCATGCTCATGTTTGTCATCCTTTAAAAATTTAAGTTGTTTGCTACAGAATAATTCTTCATCACAAATTTACACAATAAAATATTTTACATACAAACCAATAAATTTTTCTTACTTTTTAAACACACATTTTCCAAAAAACGCTATTCAATAATTCATTATTCCTAATAAATTCTATCTCCAAGTATTTCATAAGTTGATAGGTACATAATTACACAGTTATCTTGTACCTTTTTTTTTTTTTGTTACTGTTATTGATTTTGAAAATTTCAAACTAGCCTTGCACAGAAAACTAACTGATACTGACATTTTTGTCTCTTTTCCCTTCTTTTTTTTTTTTTTTTTTTCTCTAGTGGTTGAACTTGAGTTGCAGTTGGTTCAAGATTCCCTTCATCATAATTGGAATTAAAAAAAAAAAAAAATGCTATTTTTAGGGAAAAATCTCCCTAATTACGGCAATTTGTCCTAAATAACCTAAGGACGCTCCAGACTTGTAGGGTAACCCAGACAGTTCAGAGCTTACCTGTTGAGTTTAGATATTTGTACCAAACGTGACGTTTTGCTCATTATTATCAATCAAGATTCAACTAAACATGCTTTGACTGGAGTTTTGAATCAAATTATAATGAAAAACTGAAAATTTACCTTAATTGATCAGTGTGAGGAAGCTTGGAATTGATGGAATTCATAGGTGTATAATTGAATAGGCTGAGCCGAGGCTGTTGTGGTAATTTCAGCCTCCTTTTCTTGAAAGCAACCACCAGAACTTGAAGTATACTAGTAAAAGGACTGCCCTCTGGCTTCACTTTCACGTAAATTTTAGTACCCATGAAGAACAGAAGACATGATAAAAACATAAAAATACTAGGAATTGCTAGTCCTATAGACCAGCTCACATCAGTTTGCACGTAGACCACCAGTGTTACTGATACCATTTGCGCAAATGTTATTGTGAAAAAATACCAGTTGAAGAAACTATTGACTCCCTTCTTCCCGGAATCCGTGTTGGGATTGAATTGATCGGCTCCGAATGCCAAGTTACACGGTCTTATGCCACTAGCTCCGACTACCAGCAGCCCGAATGCACTAAACAAGAATGCGAGTTGCCATGGTGTTGCACTGACACATCTGTTACTCTCTTCTGCTCCACATTTAGGAGGATGTAGGGACGGAAATGCTGCTGTTAGTGTTAGCACAAGCATCCCCTGCCAAATTTGACTCGAAAATTACTTCAGTTCAAACAATTTTACATTGATTCTAAATCTACTTGAAGGAATGAAAGGTTATGAGCAGAAATCATACAAGGTTAGAGGAAATTGATGCAATTCCGAGGGTCTTATATCGGCCTAGATAAGTATCAGAGAGAAAGGCTCCAAACATTGTTCCAAAATTGCAAGTTCCATTCAAGATATTGATGAAATTAGTGGCAGAAATGGAGCTCATGTTGAACACTGTACTGAGGTACACCAACATGTTAGATGAAGTTCCAATTGTTCCCAGCTTCTCAAATGTCTCATTACCTGCAAGTTTTCCAAGAATTGTCAAAACCAGTAAATATTTTCACAAATTTTACAAAAATAACTAGATGCAATCTTTGTCGAGAGATCACGAGAAAAATTTCTATAAACCGGGAAGGGAGCTCTCACAAAACGCAACTCCAAGAAAAGATTTTATGATTAAGATTTAGTATGCAACTACAAAACATGAAGCTAAGATTTCATCACTTTTTTGTTGAAATTTACCAATAACAAAAGGCATGGCTTTGACTCCTCTATAATTGGGCTCTTTTTTGGTAACTGCAACCTCATTTTTCTCCATGATTATACCTAAAGAACACTGGTTTTTTTTTTCTTCTCTCTCTCTCTTTTCTGAGATTCCTAACAAAGGTTTTTTTTCCCCCTTTTATGTTGTATCGATATCATAATGCAAGAGTGAGGATAAGTCTATTTATAGGTAAGAAATAATTTTGCCACATAGGGTTAGCTTCCCCACGTTTAAAAATCGAAAGTAAGGTTCCGAATTATCATCTGCGAGGTGATTAATGAAAATCAGGTTCATCCTCCACAAACTATATGGTTGGGAAATTTATTTTTGAAACAAAATGCTTGTACAATTTTTTTTTTAATTGATGGGTTTATAGGTGTTGAGTTGACGGCTTTTTATTGGTCGGTTTAACTTTTTTTTCGAAGGACCTTGTTATATATACATTAATGTTTACATAAAGGATTACGTAATGTCCACACGACACTCTACCATTTGATAGTTTAAAACATAGTCAAATTTTTTATCCAATCTTCCCCTTCCAAGTCATTTTCGGTTACCGTTTATATACCGTTTTTATGTATAAGTAGCAAAATCATTTTTCCAAAATGATGTGAAATCTTGCAAACTCAGCATTCTATAACCCTATTTGTTAAAACAGCCTGTACAAGTAACATTATTATTATTTTTAAATACATCGACTACTGCATGTTATGATTTTCTTGGTGAGAAGATCATAGGAATAACCTTGTTTTTGCGATCATGATTTCAGTTTGACAATTCATTCACAACGATTTTTATTTTATTTTTATCTTTTTCAAAAAGGTTTGTTGCATGAACATGTTATTAACAATTGATTCGTAATTGTTTAGGTGGATGATGACTTTACACAACATGTCACATGGTATTTAATTGTATTATATTATCTTGCATATTTTATCATTTAAGGTAGTATTCTACTTCTGCCTCGTTCGTTTTATTTTCTTTTAATTGTCATTTTGTTAATTAACATGTAGAAGTACTTAATTCAACGTTGTTATCAAAGAAAAGTAGCAATAAATTAGGAACTAGTTGGAATGGAAGTTATTAGG